GGGTTCGTAACGCAGCGCGGTAACCACCACGACGTAAATAAAGTACACTCACCCCCCCCCCCCCCCCCTTAACAATGGTAGAGAGTTGGGTGAGTGATGGGTGGTGGTGGGGGTCGTGTGAGTAAAGGGAATGGGGTGAGGTCTTCAAGAGCTGTTCACGTCGAGGGGAAGGAAGGGGGAGGGAGGGAGGGAGAGAGAAAGTCGAGTTGTTTGGACTGTGTTAGGAAGTTTTTAAAGGTGTAGTGGAGATTGCTAAATAAAACACGTGGCTCGATTATCGCGACCGCGTCTCCCTTCAGCTCCAGGCCCACTCGCTCACTCGTCACTCTCCCCCAGCGGCTACAGTCATCGAGTGCGCAGGCGGTGCAACTGCGTCGATGCCCCCCCCCCCTCCACGGTGTCTGACGATGGAGAGCCCAGGCCCCGGGCTACGAAGAGGCGAGCTCGGTTTAAATCCCAGCGGGGTGCTCCCCTTCACAGGGCACGAGCTGCCATTGGGGGGGGGGGGGGGTCCCCTAGGCGAATGATTAATTGGAAGTACCGTACCAGTACCCGTCTGTTAAATGTGTCATTTAATTCGTGGGTCCAGGGGCATCACTCGATTCATTGCAGGCCCGGTCTTCCCGGGGACAGGGACAGCTATATATGTAAACACTTCTCACCCGGTACACCACATCCAGTAGGCCTCTCGGAAACGAGAACAATACCGATTTTAATGACGCCATCAACTTGCACCCACTCACCCAACTCGCCCAACCACTCGTTCACCCACTCCGTTGCTCGCCCGGCCGCTTACTCTCTCATTCCTTTGCTCGCTCACTCGATCACACCCACTGGTTCATTCACTTCATCTGGACGCTCACTCACTCACTGGCTCACTCACCACTCAATCGCGCACTCTTTCACGCATCCTCCCACTCGCTCGCAAACTCGTTCACCCACTCTCTTACTTCCTCATGCGCTCACCCACCAGCTCACTCATCCCACTCGTTCACCCACTGTATCACCTGCTCACTCAATGAGCCACTCCCCCACCAGCTTACTCATCCCACTCTCTCACTCGCTCACTCACTCACTCAATCATTCACACACCCACCCGCTCACCCACTCGCTCACCCGCTCACCCACTCACTTATTGACTCACTCACCCATCACTCACCCACTCGCTCACTCACTCACCCACTCACTTATTGACTCACTCACCCATCACTCACCCACTCGCTTACTCACCCACTAACTGACTCACTCACCCATCACTCACCCACTCGCTCACCCGCTCACCCACTCACTTATTGACTCACTCACCCATCACTCACCACTCACTCACCCACCAGCGCACTCATCCCACTCTCTCACTCAATCATTCACACACCCGCCCACTCACCCACTCGCTCACTCGCTCACCCACTCGCTTACTCACTCACCCACTCACTTATTGACTCACTCACCCATCACTCACCCACTCGCTCACTCACTCACCCACCAACTTACTCATCCCACTCTCTCACTTGCTCACTCACCCACTCGCTCACTCACCCACTCACTCTCTCACTTGCTCACTCATTCACCCACTCACTCGATTAACTAGTCACTCACTCACCCACCCGCTCAGTCACCCCACTCGACCGCCCATTCTCCCACTTGCTCACTCACCCTCTCGCTCAAACAACTCACCCACTATATTTATTTTTAACACAAGGCAAATGGATCAATACTCAACCCTCTTGATAACAGGGACCCAGGGAGGAGGCCGCTTTGGTACTTGAGTTGTGACCTAACCCATCCAAATAATTACCGAGCCGTCAAACGTCGTGAGTGGTCCGCCGAAAACACCAACGACATTGGGAGAAATGTCTCATTCGGATGGGTTAAGTAATCATTTCCCACGTGCCTTTGATCTTCGGAAGTATTTAATTGGCCGTAGGCCTACGGAAGCCGGCCGGTAGTTGTCACTGCAAAAAAAGCGTTTGTAAACTCGCGTGCAAGGTGAGCGAGCGCGTGAATGAATGGGTAAGCGAGCGAGGGGAGCGAGGGGAGTGAGTGAGCGAGTGAGTGAGCGGGTGAGTGAACGAGTGAGTGGACAACACAGTGAAGGAGGGAGTGAGTGTGTGAGCGAGTGAGTGACTGAGTGTGTGAGCGAGTGAGTGACTGAGTGTATGAGTGTGTGAGCGAGTGAGTGACTGAGTGTGTGAGCGAGTGACTGAGTGTATGAGTGTTGGAGCGAGTGAGTGACTGAGTGTGTGAGCGAGTGAGTGACTGAGTGTATGAGTGTGTGAGCGAGTGAGTGACTGAGTGTGTGAGTGTGTGAGCGAGTGAGTGACTGAGTGGGTGAGTGAACGACCCAGGGAGTGATTGAGTGAGTGAGTGAGCAAGTGAGCGAGTGACTGAGTGGGTGAGTGGACGACCCAGTGAGGGAGTGAGTGTGTGAGCGAGCGAGCGAGTGAGTGGATGACTGAACGACCCAGTGAGGGAGTGAGTGGGTGAGTGAGTGAGTGAGCGAGTGAATGACTGAGTGGGTGGGTGAGTGGACGACCCAGTGAGGGAGTGAGTGGGTGAGTGAGTGAGTGCTTGTCCTCGGTACAGACGTTTGCGGCAAAGTGCTGTTGGCGACCACTTGCCCCAAAAGTCTGTGAAGGCCACACGGGGCATCTTTGTCTTTGTCATCGGCAGATTGACGTCACTAAGAGAGAGCGAGAAGCGAGTGTGAAACTTTTGTTTTGATTGAAGATCTTTCGAGTGGCCAGGTGCTTCCGAGACCTCCCAGTGAACCTTGAGACTCACAGACTCACACACATGCACACTTATACTCACACGCACAAAAGACAAGGACAAAGATCCCCCGTATAACCTCGGCAGACTGTTGGGGCAAGTGCTGTTCGCGAGCAACTATGAAGGCCGGAACGGCACACGAGGGGGTGAGATGGCCAGAACCACGCCCGGTCGTCTTTGTCTCCCCAGTGGCGATGCTTACACACCGCACCAGGTACTCATTTGAGTCTGAGTCGACCTAGGGGAGGCCCAGGACTGGTTCACATATTAGTTACGGGTCTCAGTGTCCGTAAGTGGGAATCGAACTCGGGTCGCTGGGTTCGTAGCATAGCGTGCTAACCGCTACACTACCGCTCCCCACTCATACACACACACAAGCTTACACACTTGCAAAGACAATGACAAAGACCACCCGTATAGCCTTACAGAGGCTGTTGGGGGCAAGTGCTGTTAGTAGCACATCTAAAGACCGGAGGTAATATGACGAGCACCACACCCAGCCGCCTTCAATCTCCCCAGTGCTGATGTTTACACTCGGCACAAGGTAATCGTTTTAGGCTGAGTCGACCTAGGGGAGGCCCAGGAGCGATTCAAATACGTAATCATCACCACTGATGTTAGACGTGGCTTGTAGTAAAAATCGTTGGGGGGAGCGCTGTGCTCTTGCTAAGTCTAAGTCGGGGGTCGTATGTAGTATGTACGTTGAACTTCTTTCGCACCGTACGTAGCCACCGGTGCTAATCGGAGGTGCGGGACATTGCTAATCGCTGGTCTCTGTGCAAGTCTGTGCGGTTCTATATAAAATACAGATTGCCCTCGCTTTATGCGGGTTCGGTTCGCTCGATTTCGCGTTGTATATGCGGCTAAGCCTATTTCTCTACCCTAAACGCGTTACATAATCACGCCGTTTCAATTCAGGGTACTAATTTATGCTGGCGGTATATCAGAGCATCGACTCAAAAGTCGTGACAGATGAACTCAGACTTGGCTTCACTTATGGTTTCTTTTAATCGCCAGGCATTCCCACAGCAATCCCGTTCATCGCGTCCGAGTCTGTGGAATTAATGGCAAGACAAAAAAACAACATCTCGCTGTACAGGTCCATATAATATAGGACGATCGTGTTTGTGCTGAACCAATTTTGAAGGTTATCGGACCTACGACGGGATGGCTTGGTCTTGCTGCTTTCTCTCTCCATGTATAGGATGGCCCAAAAAAGTCTGGGCGCATAGGGTTCTTTGATTTCTTTTCACACTGGCATTAAAACATTTTAATTGTTTATTCCTGAAGTGAATATTGAATAATTATTAATGTCTACGTCTTTTTCTTTCTTTCTTTCTTTTTCAGATGACATTCGAAGATGGAAAGAAAATGTTACTGAACACGAACGAGATCAATTAGGCTGTTTATATGCACGCGCAATAAGGCAGTACACACGTGTATACACACCGTTTATGTGTATACTAGCTTTACTAGCCTGGCTTCGCCCGAGACTTGGATTTTTGTCTTGGATCAATACACGGCCTACGCTGAGGGTTGGGGGAGGGATGCGTGACGTCATGCAGGTGACATCACAGATGTGACGTCACCACTCACTTGCCGTGCAAAATATATCCACTATTGCGCCCCCCCCCCCCCAAATATAAAAGTCTATTGTTATACTTTTTGCATTGTGTACAGTCTGGAAGCTACCCACATGCCAAATTTCAAGTCTGTTGCATGTCGGGAAGTATGCTAAACATTTAGAATAGACACATTCACAAATTTCCCTTTTATATATATAGATATGCATAGATACAAAAATATATATACACGTTTCTGGTACATACATACAAACATCTATTATTATATTGCTGATGGATTCACTTCCCAAAAACAGCCAAACCTCCGTGTCTGGGGGAAGGGGCGGGGCCTACACAGACGGGAGGCGTGGCCTAAAGAGGAAGGGGGCGTGGCCTAAAAGGAAAGGTGCAGAACCGAAAGATGAATGGGCGGAGTCTGCAGTAGCGAAGCTTCCTTGTTGATTTCACGTAAATAGAATCATACACCTGGGCAAGTCGGACAGTGATTTAGTAAACGTGTCCGCGTACTGCGAGATCGAGCCCGAAATAAACTACGGACAATTACAAGTGCAATGTAAAACGATTACACCACACAAACACCGGCTCCCCATCATCGTAAAAAAGCTCAAGGGATGCGTTTTAAAATCTTAAATTTGTTACAAAGCAGAACTCCCGAAGGAGCTCGCAAAAATTGCCGATGCCGACTGTGTTGCAAGCCGGCGTGGCGGGGTATTGGGATAAAGTTTTCAATTGGTAATAATCGCGCCTCGAATAAACCTCATCGGTTGCAATACTGCCACTGCGCGCAAACGACGTTCGTGTATTTTTCAATATTTTTAAATATTTTTCAATTCAGAGCCATGATGAGTAAATTGCACTTACATTTCGCGTACCTGAGTTCCGCTTGTGCCGCTGGACGGGAGGTGATGGTTGTCGCTTGCCGACGTCATCGGCACGGTGCTCCTCAATTCGTGGGAAGCCTCCAGGTAACCAACCACGCGAGAGGAGAAAAAAAAGGTTCTTGCCGAACGTGTCGAGTTGTTTTTTTGTTTGTTAAACACAAAACAGGTCCCTGCAGGGTGGGCTGGTAGGAACATTGGAATTTTTCACTTCGTTAAAGTATTGAAAGGGGACGGACGGACGGACACATTAATCTATTGCAGGCTGGTACACTCAGTTTACAACTTCGTTCCTACCAGTAAAAGTAGTCGATTTATAGTCCCAGTTGTACCTCAGAGCAATGCAGCATGTAGTTGACGATTTAACACGTAGTAGGATTTTGCGAACCAATATCATCCATATTTGAGGAACGCCAGTTAAGACAAGAGCTTCATCTGCTTAATTCGGAGTTTCTCCAATTTTCTGGTTTGAAGAAAAGTATCCTCCCCGTGGAGTTGAACACTTAGTAGGCTTTCGCGACTAATATCATCCATATTTGAGGAACGCCAGTTAAGACAAGAGCTTCATCCGCTTAATTCGGAGTTTCTCCAATTTTCTGGTTTGAAGAAAAGTATCCTCCCCGTGGAGTTGAACACTTAGTAGGCTTTCGTGACTAATATCATCCATATTTGAGGAACGCCAGTTAAGACAAGAGCTTCATCCGCTTAATTCGGAGTTTCTCCAATTTTCTGGTTTGAAGAAAAGTATCCTCCCCGTAGAGTTGAACACTTAGTAGGCTTTCGCGACTAATATCATCCATATTTGAGGAACGCCAGTTAAGACAAGAGCTTCATCCGCTTAATTCGGAGTTTCTCCAATTTTCTGGTTTGAAGAAAAGTATCCTCCCCGTGGAGTTGAACACTTAGTAGGCTTTCGCGACTAATATCATCCATATTTACGTGATATAACCCAAAAAACCTGTATTATGTATTTGACGAGTTTGCTTCCTATTGATATTCTGAATTCGTTTTTCGCACGTGGTCTACGTGTAAAGATACAACAGCATCGTACATCCTTGCTCTCGCCACTGCTGCCGGGAAGGGCATCTGCTTACTATATGAAAGCTCGTATATTTTTCGTGGCCTTACCCGCTATGACAATGGCCAAGAAAGATTGCCTTGGAATACGTGGGAATAAACCCACTCGTTACCCCACCGCTGGCTGTGGTTGTTTCCACTACTGCACCAGGAGATTGAGGCAGGGGACCTCGGAACTGAAACGCGAGTCCAGGACGAACGCCATTTCACTGATACGGTAGCGCCAACTGAACAAAAAAAATCCTCAACGACAATTCTTTAATTCGTTCAAAATATTCTTGGTTCTCTCGGTTAAGTCACGTAGATAGAAAATAAAAGTAATGAAATGAATCTAGATTTGAAGTTTTCGTGACTGCAGGGATCCATACTCTTTGTTTCTTTCGGTAAAGTCACGTAGGTATAAAATAAAATAAATAAAATCACGACGTTTCGGGCGCAACATAAGCGTCCGTCATCAGGTGGGACAACCACGGCAAGAAACAATTGCTGAAGTGGGCAAAAGGGCTGCTGCAACAAGAGGCTTTATAGGCAAGAGAGGGGGGGAGGAGCCAGGGAGTAGAGACAGAGGGGGGGGAGTGGAGCGCTGCCGAGTGAAGAGCAGCTAGATAGGATTAAAGAGCGAGCAGAGAACAGAATGTCGGGGGGTGGGGAGGGGAAGAGAGCGGGGCTGGGAGTGGGGAGCTGAAGCAACTGGAGATGCGGATATGAAATCAACACCATAAAGCACTTAAGGTTTTATCTGGTTAATAACATCCTTCCATTGATTGCTCAATTTGTATCCATCTTCTCGGTTGAAGTTAAGTCTATGTTTATATATCTAGATGGCTTCATGAACAAACCTTTGATAGCAGCCCGAAGGTTTGCAGAGCACCTTGGTCTCGGGAAATAAACAATATCATGATATCATGAGAGCCCGCAGCATTATAGCAATGGTCAGCCACAGCGGATGTATTAGTCCTGCCGTGTTTCAGATCTGCCTTGTGCTCGCGAACACGGTCCGAGACATGTCGTTTCGTTTCCCCAATGTAACAATCACCACAGGAGCAACTTAGTTTGTAGACTCCCGGATATTGCATGTCAGGAATGGATCTTAGGAAGAGCATATAATCTGGGTGGTCTAGCAGCAGAAGGTTTTAGGGAGAACCGTTTGACTGGTTTGATTAGAGAAGTCGAACTGGTAATGATATTGTTGGTTTTTGTAGTCAGGCTGTTAGTAGAATCTTTGTTGATTTTGGTGTAGCTGCCATCATTAAGAAGGTCCTGGATTCATATTCTTGTTTCTTTCGGTAAAGTCACGTAGAAGGAAACAATAAAATAATAAAAATATAAAATAATAAAATTCTCACGACGTTTCGACTGCAACACAAGCAATGAACCATAACACAAACGGTCGAAACGTCGTGAGAATTTTTATTGTTTTATATATATTTTATTATTTTATTGTTTCCCTTCAACGTGACTTTACCGAAAGAACTAAGAATTAAAACCCACGTGTTTGTTTTATTATTTTTATTTTCTATCTACGTGACTTTACCGAAAGAACCGAGCATATGAATTTCTGCAGTCGTGAAAGTTTCAAGTCAAACTCGCTCAAAATAAACTCCCTAAAGGAGCTCGCAAAAATTGCCGACGCCGACTGTGTTGCAAGCCGGCTTGGCGAGGTATTGTGGAAAAGTTTTCAAATGGCAATAATCGCGCCTCGGCTAAACCTCATCGGCTACGATACTGCCGCTGCTTTGCACAGACACCGACCGCTCCCTCTTACGCGACGCGGCCCTACCTCAACGCCATGGGTGCCAGTCGAATGCCGAACAGATATGCGCCAATCGAAATAACTCATTTTATTTGCTTAAATAATACACGATTTGAGTTTATATATACTTCGTGTTTTTTTAAAGGCCATAGTCAATCTCTGGGCTAATTGGCTGAGGAAATACGATGTGCATGCTTCTTACCGCGTGTGCCGCTGGACGGGAGGTTTGGTGACGTCATTTATTTTCACAAGAGGGTCGAGTTTATTCTCGTCGATTTATCGTCCCAGCTCAGACCATCGCTGGATGGGAATATTACATGTGTACAATATTGTGTTTAATCAAAGGTACATATGCGTTGGGTGCATACAATGTGTGCACAGCATGTATGCATTTATGTACGTAAAATGTTTGTCACGAAATGTAAAAAAACAGTGATATATTATCGTACGATGTAGAAATAAATTCGACTATACACGTATCGTCCGTCTGACTAAATATCGTGAATATCGTTGTTTAATAATAGGGGTTTTCCCCTTTTTTCTGGCAACAAAACTGAAACCTTTTTACAAGGATTCATGTCTGCATTAACCACAATACCTGCAGTCAAAATGCAAAAGAAAAACATACTATGATAATATATGCATTGTCCTTGAAACTTATTGGTCCACACCAAGGGACGGCTTTCTTTTAAGCCTCGAACCAATTGGTGCTCGACCACAGCAACATTCCCACTGCTGCTGCTGCTGTGACACAGTGCCCAGAGCAACATTCCCACTGCTACTGCTGCTGTTGCTGTGACACAGTGCCCAGAGCAACATTTCCACTGCTGCTGTTGCTGTGACACAGTGCCCACAGCAACATTCACACTGCTACTGCTGCTGTGACACAGTGCCCAGAGCAACATTCCCACTGCTACTGCTGCTGTTGCTGTGACACAGTGCCCACAGCAACATTCCTACTGCTGCTGCTGCTGTGACACAGTGCCCACAGCAACATTCCCACTGCTACTGCTGCTGTGACACAGTGCCCAGAGCAACATTCCCACTGCTGCTGCTGCTGTGACAGTGCCCACAGCAACATTCCCACTGCTACTGTGACACAGTGCCCAGAGCGACATTCCCACTGCTGCTGTTGCTGTGAGCGCAGCGGTGGGTTTGCAAATTCCGTCATCATCAGCGTCATCAGCGTCATCAGCATTTAAGTCGTCTCGTTGACGAGGGGCGAACGAAGCGCACTAAAAAAATACGAGGCTTTTGTCCGCAAATGTGTGGGTCGTCTCTAAGCCACATCTAAACGTGCCGTGGGTCTCCCTTGGCTACATCTAAAAATGATGTGGGTGGCTCTTAGCTAAATCCCAAAATGTTGTGAGTCTCTATTCAGCGAAATCTAAAAATGTTATGGGTTTCTCTTAACTAAATCCCAAAATGTTGTGGGTTTCTCTGAGCCAAATCTAACAATGCTATGAGTCTGTCTCTCTGAACTGCATCTAAACATGTTTTGGACCTCTCTGAACTAAATCTAACAAAGTTGCGAGTCTCTGTTAGCTCAATCAAAACACAAAAATGTGTGGGTCTCTCTTTAGCTAAAACTCAACATGCTGTGAGTGTGTCTCTGAGTCCGGACACCCACAGCAGTGGCTGAGCCTCGTGGCAGGCAGCAGGGTGTGGTGATGGGGTGCAGTGGGTATGAGGGCATGCCCGCTGCAGGCGGATTAAACTGCTAATTAAAAGCAAAACACTCCAGCGAAACGCATTGATTAGATTCGGAAACTGCACATCCTTTCATTTTGTCGCTCACACGCAGAAAAAAAAACCGGTACCCGGTTGGGTGCTCACAAACCGGCGGCCTGGCCAAGTGTGAAGGCCCTGGGTAGGAGTGCAGGCACGGTGTGTGTGTGCGCGTGTTGCTGTGTGTGTGTGTCGTGGGGAGCGGTGGTGTAGCGGTTAGCGCGACGCTGCGCTACGAACACGGCTACCGGAGTTCGATTCCCCCGAATATCTGAATCGGTCCTGGGCCTCCCCTAGGTCGACTCAGCCTCAAATGAGTACCCGGTACGAGGTGCAAACTGGGGAGACAAGCCGGTCGGGCGGGGTGCTGACCCACCCACCGCCTCGGCCTTCATAGGTGCTCGCTTACAGCACTTGCCCCAACAGTCTGTTAACGCTATACGGGGCATCTTTGTCGTCATATGTTTATTTCTTCGCCAGTACGTGTGTGTTGTGTAGATGTGTGCGTGTATGTATGTGTGTGTTTGTCTTTTGCATGTATGTGTGTGCGTATATATGTAAGTTTACAAAGACAAAGATCCCCATTTAGCCTAAATAGAAGTGCTGTTAGCGAGCACCTATGAAGGCCGGCACGGCACATGAGGGAGTGGGTGGCCAGCATCCCGCCCGACCGCCTTTGTCTCCCCACTGGCAATCTTTTCACCTACTGCCGGGTACTCATTTGAGGCTGAGTGGACCTAGGAGATGCCCAGGACCGGTTAAAGTAATCGCCAGTGTTGTACATTTACGCACGCGTGAACGCATTGTGAATGTGTATAGGTACATGCGCATGCATGTAATAGGTGTGTGTGTATGTACGTATTACGGTTGTTAAAATTAGAAGGGGTTTTTGTCATAACCGGTAACCGAATGGAAAAAATCTGCCGGTAGAACCAGTTTGTGTAGAGGGCCAACCAGAGCAGAGATTCACCGATCACGAGAGACAAAGGCGGTCAGCCGGGGTGCTGGACACTCACCAACCTCGTGTACCGTTCCGGCCTTCATAGGTACTCGCTAACAGCACTTGCCCCAACAGTCTGTTAAGACTACACGGGGGATCTTTGTCTGTGTTGTGCGTGTGTCTGGTGGGGGGTGTAAGTTGCTGTTCTCGGAGTCACTCGCCGCTTCCTGAACTGTCCACTCGACCACAAAGCGCACAAAGGCGGCCCCTTCTCAAAGGCGCGCAACGTCGACTGAAGAGAAGACAGAGCACATGGCCCCTCCCCCCACACACAGCCCCTACACCCCCCCCCCCCCCACAGTCGAAGCTGTCTCCCCTCTTCCACTCTCTCCACAATCCGCCCTCCCACCATCACCCATCGTTTCTATCCACCCCCCATCACCTTCCACCCCCCCCACCACCACCATCACTTGCCACCATCACCCATGGTCTCAGTCCATCACCATCAACTCCAATCATTATTTATTACCATCACCCATCGCCTCCAATCAGCACCCCCCTACCCCCTCCAGCCATCCCCATCACTTTTCTACCATCAGTAATCACCCATCCGTGCACCATCACCGCCCACCCCACCTCCCACCATCACCCATCACCTGCCACCATCACCTGCCACCATCACCCCCACCTCCCTCCATTCCGTCCCCATCACCAATAACCCATCCAATCATCCCCCTCCCACCATCACTAATCACCTACCACCATCACCACACTCGAACATCACCGTTCCAGAGGGACTCTCGGTGGATCACTGATCGGCCCTTTTATCGATACACTGCTGGATGAAGGCTTGCCCCCCCCACCCCCAGCACGCTGTCGGGGGGCGGGGGGGGTTACTTTCGCATACTCATACTTCACCCCAATGGTGAGTCCACGGATTGGCCAGTCGTGAACGAAGTGGACGAGGAGAGATCGACGCTTGAGCGTAGACGTTGAGCGAAGTGGAGTGGAACCTCGTCAAGTCTCCTTCGTCGCCCTTTGCTGAAGATCTGCTCACGATGTTTAAATGTACAGACTTGAGCGCCACTGTGGCTAGGAGATGTTAACTGCCACCACGCCTGGTATGCAGGAGATCGTGGGTTCGTTCCTGATCCTGACGCCTGCTGCTGTATATTTGGAGTTTGCGTGTTTCTCTCTCCGTGGCTGCTCTGTGCTGCTTCCAGTGTTCAGGGGCCTGCTTAAGGCGCGGCTCCGGCTGGAGCACGCCACGTACCACACACACGTGTCGGTGATGTGCAGCGCGTCTTCCTCGAACGCTCGCTCGTCACCGTGGCGTGCGCGACGAACACCGCCACCACGTGACTTTTCTTTCGTGTTGTGCGCGGTGCATTTAGCGCCACGGCGCGTGGATTTACAGCGTTTGTTTTATTTGTGTTGCTGGTGACGTTGTGTGTTTCATATCGGAATCGCCCCCAGTGCTGTTGCTGCTGGCGGCAATAAAAGTTGTTTAAAAAGTCCAAAAGTCTCTCTCCGTGGCCGCGTGGATTTTTCTCGAGGCCCTCCCGGTTTTCCCTCCGCGTTTAGAATTAACATCACAGCGTTTTAGAGAATTTGGCTGCTGTGCATTTCCACGTGGTAAGCCACTTCGCTTAGTTATCATTTGTGGCCAGGTCGCTTCTGAAAAAAAGAGCCGTTATAGCTCAGTGGGCCTTACCTGGTGAAATAACAAAACGAGTTTAGTATAAGAGTTTACACTCGGGGAGATAGAAATATATTTAAATAGAACTCTGTTGCGCTTTAAAGACCGACGAGAATAATAATTAGGCCATACCACAATTTCCTCATTCAGTTCTCGAGTGCATTACAGCGATATGCAGAGTTACGACTCACGCTCTAACGTTGTATCGCAAATATTGCATTTACATAAATATTAATGCACTTTTTCCCATTCTCCTCCTTCCACGCGTTTGTGCCACTCCTGTGGAGGTGTTTTCAGCTGCCCTTGCCAACCTTCTCCACGCTGCCCTGTCCTGCGCCCAGAGCCGGATTAACATTTTGTAGACCCCCCTTGGGCTACAGGTACTGTGAGCCCCACCACCAACCACCACCCCCCCCCCCCCCCCCCCCCCCCCCAGTAATATTTTAAAAAGGAAAATAAAGTTAAAGAAAAATCAAATGTATATTTTTACAATGCTAACGAGAATTAAAATTCAGCATTCACAAATGAAATAACTTTTCACTCTAATCTCTGGAGGCCCTCCAGCTGACGGAGGGCCCTTGGGCTGCAGCCCCCTAAAGCCCCCCACGCCTTGACCCGACCCTGTC